GCAGCCGTCATTGTTGTTTGGCGGGTCCGGGCTGGGGATTCGAACCCGCCACCTTAGGTGTACGTGGCTGGCGCCTTAGCCGGTTGGGCTATAGGTGCCAAGCCGCTTTGGTGATTTTCTTGTCTTAGCCTCCCGAGTAGCTGGGACTACAGGTGCCCACCACAATGCCCGGCTATTTTTTTTAGTTGCAGTTTGGCCAGGGACAGGTTTGAACCTGCCACCCTCAGCATATGGGGCCGGTGCCCTACCCACCGAGCCACAGGTGCGGCCCTCAGTTTTATATTTTTATCATTTCATAAAGTAATTCTGTATCCATTAGCTTTTACCTTCCTATTTTCCTACCTCCACTCTATAATCTATTTTCTGTCTCTATAAATTTACCTCATCTGGACATTTCATATAAATGGTATCGTGTAACACACATGGTCTTTGTAGCATGACATTTCAAGTCCATGCTGTTATGTGTATCAGTGCTGTGTTCCTCTTTGTTGCTATTCAGCAACACATATAGCTCATATAGCATATTTTGTTTATCTGTTCATCAGTTTTTGGGCATTCAGGCTGTTTTTAACTTTTGGCTATTGTGAATAACACTATGGATAGCCCCCCTTTTTTCTGTGTTTTCTATGTTGCCCAGGCTGGTGTTGAACTTGTGGCCACAAGTGATCCTCCCACCTCAGCCTCCTAAAGTGTTGAGATTACAGGCATGTGCTACACCATGCCCAGCCTAGATAGCTCACTCTTATAAAAACATTTTTTAAAGATGCCTGGCATGTAATAAGGACTTATAAAAGTCCTGGGGGGCAAAGTGATTTTGTCACCACTGGATATGTAAGGCAACAGAGAGCGTAAGAGGCTTACTCAAGGTTACATGCCCAGAAGGCAGCTTCCATGCTGTCCTCTTGCCATGTGGAGTTTGGTGGAAATGGGAATGGAATATTGCCATCTATTTTTTTTCTGCTGCCAGTACAAGGTGTCAGCCCCCTTCTGCCCTCTGCCTTCTCTTTTCCTAGGTGTCCAGGGTGTGGAAGTACATTTGGAGAACCAGATGGTCTTGGTGCAGACCACCCTGCCCAGCCAGGAGGTGCAGGCCCTGCTGGAAGGCACAGGGCGGCAGGCAGTACTCAAGGGCATGGGTGGCAGCCAATTACGTGAGTGACCACTGTGACCTAGGCCCTGACCTTTCTGAGAGGGAGGTGACCAGAACTGGTACAAACCTAACCATGAGATTCTTGGGCTCTGGGTTGGAATGGCTTTGGGGAAGGCATAGAAGTTCTGTGAGACCCTTTCCAAGGCCCTTTCCACGCTGATAAAGGGGTAGGTGGGGGAGTGGCAAGCCAGTCCAAGTGTCTAATACCTTGCAGATAATCTGGGGGTAGCAGTGGCCATTTTAGGAGGATCTGGCACCGTGCAGGGAGTAGTGCGCTTCCTACAGCTGACTCCTGAGCGCTGTCTCATCGAGGGCACCATTGATGGCCTGGAACCTGGGCTGCACGGACTCCACGTCCATCAGTATGGGGACCTCACACAGAACTGCAACAGGTACGTTGTCAGAACTCTACTTTGGAGCGTCTTCAGCCTCACATTTTCCCCCTTGGTTCTTATAAATACTCTGTGAGGCCCATACACACAGGCCCAATCTACAGATGAGGAAACTAAGGCTGAAAGAGGTGAAATGACTTGTCAAAAGCCCAGGGCATGTAAAAGGTAGAGTTGGGATCTGAATTAAGATCTTTGGAGGCTAAGGCAAGAAAATCTCTTAAGCCCAAGAGTTGGAGGTTGCTGTGAGCTATGACATCATGGCACTTTACCCAGGGCAACATGGTGAGACTATCTGATTAAAAAAAATAAAATCTGACCTTGAGGCCAGGTGCAGTAGTTCATGCCTATAATCTCAGCCCTCTGAGAGTCTGAGGAGGGTAGATTGCCTAAGCTCACGAGTTTAAGACCAGCCTAAGCAAGAATGAGACATCATCTCTATTAGAAAGAGAAAAACTGGGCTCAGCACCTATAGCTCAGCAGCTAGGGCATTAGCCACATATGCTAGAGCTGGCAGGTTCAAACCAACCTGGCCCTGCCAAACAACAATGACAACTACAACCAAAAAATAGCCGGGTATTATGGTGAGCACCTGCAGTCCTAGCTACTTGAGAGGCTGAGGCAAGAGAATCACATAGGCCTAAGAGTTTGAGGTTGTGGCTCGGCGCCTGTGGCTCAAGCGGCTAAGGCGCCAGCCACATACACCTAAGGTGGTGGGTTCGAATCCCCAGCCCGGCCCGCCAAACAACAATGACGGCTGCAACCAAAAAATGGCCAGGCGTTGTGGCAGGCGCCTATAGTCCCAGCTACTTGGGAGGCTGAGGCAGGAAACTCGCTTGAGCCCAGGAGTTGGAGGTTGCTGTGAGCCGTGATGCCATGGCACTCTACCCAGGGGGATAGCTTGAGGCTCCGTCTCAAAAAAAAAAAAAAAAAGAGTTTGAGGTTGCTGTGAACTATGACACCACGGCACTAGCCCAAGCACTCTAGCTTGGGCAGGTGTCCTCAAACTAAGGCCCGTGGGTCACATGTGGCTCACTGAGGACAGTTATCCAGCCCGCTGGGGGTGTTTTTGCCCCCAGTGCCTGTCCTGCTTAGCAGCCAACTCCTGGGGCCTACAGTCCGGCCCTCCCAATGGTCTGAGGGACAGTGAACTGGCCCCCTGTTTAGAAACTTTGAGGACCCCTGTGCCTGGGCAACAGAGAGACGCTATCTCAAAAAAAAAAGAAAGAAAGAAAAAGATCTGACCTTGAAGCTCCTGCTTGGAACTACCTCACTGCCTCTGAGACAGAAGGGGAGACCTGGGAAGAGGGAAAGAAGGGTCCCTGTGCTATGTTGTTTATTGTGCTGAGGGGTAATGAGCTCTTTACTCATCTGTGTCTTCCCTAGACCAGCAGCTTACTGAGGAAAGGACCTAAGTCCGGTGCCTTCTACCTAAAGCCCAGCACAGAGTAGGCCTGTTTGCTGAATGAATGAATGAATGAAAGAAACAAATGTAGGAAAGAGGGCAACCACCTGTCTGTAAGCTACTTTACTGCCCACCTGCTACTTTTCTTTCTTAGCTGTGGGGACCACTTTAACCCTGATGGAGCATCTCATGGGGGCCCTCAGGACTCCGACCGGGTAAGTGTTGGTCTGGGCTTGCACTCAGGCTGAGAAAGAACCCTCAGCCTCAGAGGCAGGGCAGGCAGGCAGGCAGTTCTCAGGCCTTACAGTGTGATTCCTTTTTGGTGAGGTCCTGTCCTCCCACTTTATTCTATTTAGTTTGAGAATTCTTTTTTTTTTTTTTTTTTTTATACAGAGCCTCAAGCTATCGCCCTGAGTAGAGTGCCATGGTGTCACAGCTCACAGCAACCTCCAACTCCTGGGTTTAAGTGATTCTCTTGCCTCAGCCTCTTGAGTAGCTGGGACTGCAGGCGCCACCCACAACGTCCAGCTATTTTTTGGTTGTAGTTATCATTGTTTTTTTTTTTTTTTAAAGAAATGAAATAATTTTATTTGCAACAATGTGGCGGGAACTGGAGAGCATTATCTTAAGTGAAGTCTCTCAGGAAAGGAAAAACAAAGGCTGTATATTCTCACCAGTAAGTGGAAGCTACTAGATGGGTATATGTGGACACAAAGTGATATGAAGGACATGAGACACCCGGAAGGAGGCACAGTGGGAGGGTAGGTGTGATATAAAAAGTTACCTGTTGGGTACAAAGAACATTCCTGATGATGGGCACATCAAAGGCCCTGACTTTAACATTGCAAGATATCCATGTAACAAAAATACTGGTACCTCCTTGATTAGTATTTAGATGTTAAACAATTAGTGTAAGGTTTTGGATAGTTGGAAAATTGCTTCTTGCAGCTCCAGTTTATACTACTGTACACGAGAATGTAAGTTTTCCAATTATCACTGTTATTTGGCAGGCCCAGGCTGGATTCGAACCCACCAGCTCTGGTGTATGTGGCTGGTGCCTTAGCCACTTGAGCTATAGGTGCCACCAAGTTTGGGAACATTTATTGACATTTTCTATGATCAGGAGCCAGGGCCGCCAAGGAGCTCACTGGGAAGTTGGTGAGGTTGCTGAATTCTGAGGGGCAGCGAAGTCACCCGTGCAGGGACACCTGGGAGCCTGCAATATGAGCCTGCTCCAACCTGAGGGGCAGTGAGAGAAAGCTTCCTGGAGAAGGCAAAGGTGTGGAAGTTGGAAGTTTGACCTAAACTGGAAGGCTGGGCATGGTGGCTCACACCTGTAGTCCTAGCATTCTAGGAGCTGAGGCAGGTGGATTGCCTGAGCTCAGAGGTTTGAGACCAGCCTGAGCAAGAGTGAGACCCTGTCTCTAAAAATAGCTAGACGTTGTAGTGGGTGCCTATAGTCCCAGCTACTTGGGAGGCTGAGGCAAGAGAATCACTTGAGCCCAAGACTTGAGGTTGTTGTGAGCTGTGATGACACAGCACTCTACTGGGGCGACATAGTGAGACTCTGTCTCAAAAAAAAAAAAAAAATCCTACCCGAGACTGGCCCCCAGGGTTTGGAATTGAACCTGCTTTATCTTTGTCAAAGTGGAGATTAGCTAATTTTAGAGCAGTGTTAAAGACCATCTATCACTAAACTCAGACCCTCCTTGCTGTCTTCTGAGCACCCTCCTTGCTGTCTCCTGAGTGGTTGGGAAGTGAATGGAGGATGCCTTTCCTCCCATGATTTGGTATTTCCTACTGCCCTGCCACACACCTGATGTCCTTTCCTCAGTGGAGATATAGTCCCAGGGCAGGTTCTGCCTCCTAATCCTGGGAAACTTCTGGTTTTTCTTTAGGTCCTCCCAGAACTCAAGATTGTTGCACAATTCATGTAACTGATTTTTTTGACTTTTGACAGCTGTCACATGTCTAATGGGCAGAGGTTTTGCCTCCCCACCCTAGAAAAGTGATAGATGTCTCTATCAGCAGAGGGCCGGGCTTATGCTCCACCTATTAGTGATCAATGGCGGCAAACCAGATACCTCCACAATCAGCAATCTATAACCACAAACCTGTGTTATCTCACCGTGGCTCCGGGGCAGGAGTCTGGTTGCTGCTGAGCTGGGTGCCTGTCCCTCAAGAGTTGCACAGGGCTGTAGTCATCACAGACCTGGTCAGGGGAGGATCTGCTCCCAAGCTTGTTGGTGCTGCTGCTGGCACTTCCACATCTTCCTGGCTGTTGGCCAGGGATCAGTTCTTTGCCATGTGGGGTAGAGAGATAAGAGTGGTCAGGTCCAGCTGAGGATACCTCTTAAGCAACTCCTGGGGGCATTAAATGGAAAAGAGTGTTTATGAAGGGTAAGAGACCACCTGTGATCTATGTTTTCACCCTGAGTGCCACCTGGAGCAGACACTTGAGTTGCACCTAAGCCCTTCATATAGATGAGGAAGAACTGAATAAGAGCCCAGAGCCCAAGGCCACCATGAGGACAGCCAATTTCCTTTTGGGTTTTCATGCCTGTTTTTCCCACATAGAAAAGAATTCAATGTGGCAATTTACATCCAAGCCTACTTGTCCCTTGCTTATCTCCTAAGTCTAAGGAGACATGCAAGGGACAAGATCAGGAGACTCTCCTGATCTCTAAGCCTCCTTTCCTCTCTCCCTGTCCCCCTCTAGTCCTTCCTCTTCATATTCTGTACTAGAGGGACTGCTCTGAAGCACAGCATAACCATGCCATGCCCCAGCCTGAAACCTGTTGGCTCCCCATTGCTTGAGCATACAGCTGGGCCCAGCTTCTTGGTGTGACATTCAAGGCTTCCCCTGACCCCTTGCACTTGCCTGTGTGCTGAGAGGAGAGACGGGAAGGGCTGCCTCTCCCTGACCCCATGTTCAGTTGTGCCTCCAAGACTGTTCTCTTAGCTCAACCCCCAGTCGTTCTTCAAGGCCTCCTGGTCCCCGACCTTTCTGTTGTGAAAGTCCCTAACACAGGGTGTAACAAAAAGTATCGGGTGCAAGCAGCAGATGTCCCTCTGGAAAACAAGATAAAGCAGAAGTGGTGCTGCCTGCTACTCATCAGCGCTGTCACACAGTGAAATGCCTTGTTCAGTGACTACCCCACACAGGCACTTATTATTACCCAGACTGTTAGTCTGGGGACAATATATTTGCAAAGATGTGGGTTTCTGTGGCTCACCAGCAGGGGTGCTGTCAGCCCTAAACATACCAACTATTATTCTCACCCTGTGTTTCATCATTGCTAGTCTGTTCCATATATGGCTGCCTACCATGTCACGTGTCTCTTGAGAGTGGTGACATACATACTCCTCCCCATGTCTACAGAGTGTGTCTGACTTTTTTTTTTTGTTTTGAGACAAGAGTTTCACTATATCTCCCCCAGTAGAGTGCTGTGCTTTCACAGTTCACAGCAACCTCAAATTCTTGGGCTTAAGTGATTCTCTTGCCTCAGCCTCCCAAGTAGCTGGGACTACACACGCCTGCCACAACACCTGGCTTTTTTTTTGTTGCAGCTGTCATTGTTGTTTAGCTGGCCTGGGCCAGGTTCAAACCCACCAGTCTCGGTGCATGTGGCTGGTGCCATAACCACTGTCCTATGGGTGATGAGCCTTGTCTGACATTTTTTATTACCTTAAAGGAAGGTGACCAGAGCCAGCTTCTGGGTAGCAAAACAGGCCCTTTGCCCCCTTGTGTTTCTTCTCTTGGTTCCTTGAGGCAAGGGATCAGGAAAATGATGCTGGCTGCCTTTGATAGTCAGGGGGGCCAGGCCTGGTGAGGTAAGCCCGTGGGAATTGAAAAAGCCCAGGGATCATGGAGGGACAGGAAGCTGCAGAACTATGCTGACTGGAAGCTGGGAAGCAGAGTGGGCAGCAACTCCAGCAGGGAGGATCACACAGGAAGGGGGACTTTCCAGCACACTGTCTGACATTCAACCTAGGATTTCAGGTCCAGGAAGGGACTGTCCTGTTGCCTTCCTTGAGTCCTGGACGGTCCCTTGATCCTACAAGACTGTACTCATAGGAGGAAATTGGTACTTTTGGGAAGTAGAAAGAGGCATCCGATGCTGGGAAGTCCAAATACAGCAGCTTTGCTGCCACATGACCTCCCAACTCCCACCCCTTCTCTGGGTCTCATTCCAGCATCGCGGAGACCTGGGCAACGTCCGTGCTAATGCTGATGGTCGTGCCATCTTCAGGATAGAGGATGAGCAGCTGAAGGTAGATGGAAAAGAAAAGAAGATGGGGACCCTTCCTAATGGGTGGTCCACTATCTGAGGCTGTTGTCTTCCCTCAAAGGTGTGGGATGTGATTGGCCGCAGTCTGGTTATCGATGAGGGAGAAGATGACCTGGGCCAGGGTAACCATCCCTTGTCCAAGATCACGGGGAATTCTGGGGAGAGGTGAGCTCAAGCCCGTAGTGGGAGGCTGTGCTCTGCCAGCAATGCAAGTGGAGCCCTGGAGGGGCCCAACATGTACCCACTCTTGACCACATGTTCTAATGCAGGCTGGCCTGTGGCATCATCGCACGCTCTGCTGGCCTTTTCCAGAATCCCAAACAGATCTGCACCTGCGATGGCCTCACCATCTGGGAGGAGCGAGGCCGGCCCATTGCTGGCAAGGGCCGAAAAGAGTCATCACAAACCCCTGCCCACCTTTGAGTGTGGCCTCACCCCAGTTACTGTCCTTCTAGCCAAGCAAATTCCACTTCCAGAGGTGTCAATGGGGATCTTTGTTGCCTAGTCCTTGGAGAATTAAGTACAGGATACATAGTGGTTGCTGCAATGTTCCCTCAGCAAATTAAAGTTTATTTTCATATGGAACTTCTTGTTTCACGTCTGTCTCCGTGTCCTTTAATGGGCTGGGTGAACACAGTCTCTGCCTCTGCCCTCTGCATCCAGGCTCACCCTTAGTAAACCTGTATTAAAATTCACACATGTATGGAGGCCCCCTCTGTCTCCATGGAGTCACAGCAGAGGACCTCAACAGTCAAGTTTCTGTTTGTGGCCTGCTCTTCTTTGATCTCATTGGAGGTGACTGGAACCAAAATGGATACCTGACCCATGCTGGGCCATGCTTTCCCTGAGAAATCAGAGCAGATGCAGCATTAGTTTCTTCCAGTGGTCAGACTTGTAATGTGAGAATATGGGAACCTGGAGTAGTCCTCTTCTCCCTGCCTTGTTGACTGAGCGTCAGGAAGAGCGGTCTGTTGAGGAGGAACAAAGTGGAGGCATAGAGAGAACCCACCAGATGCTGGGGAATCCCATTTGCTCTGGGTCCCCCTTCAGGCCTTTCCTGAGGCCAGCTACCTCCTGCCCTGGGAATCAGGAGATACTCTTCTGTCCTCCCAATGTATACCCCCCTTAAAAGAATTAATCTTCCTTCAGTCCATTTCTTTTTCTCATAAGTAAAAGATTATTGATAAACTTAGTAAGTTAGGTGCTTACAAAGCCTGGCACACAGTAAGTTAGGGAGCATGACTGGGATTCTGAGGCCACATGGGGCCCTTGGAGGCAGCCCCAGCAAAGTTCCCCTCTTACGTAGATGGGGGCTGCTAACCAAGTCATATCAAGCCTCTACTTATCTATTCTGTCCTTTCACCCTACTCCCCACTGAACAGCTATCCCAGCCTTAACAAAACTGCTTTTATGACAGGGCGAGCTGTCAAACTATAAACTTTGTCCCTGTGGGGCCTGATTGGAACCAGGTAGGTGGTTTTACTGTCAGTTGGCCTTGGCTTTGAGGCCCCTGGCTCTTTGAACCCCCTTCAGGGCTGCTGGCTCCATTTCCAGCTCCAACCCTTGGACCCTGCTCTTTCCTGCCAAACCTTAGCTGGTTATTTTCCCATTCCCCTTGTTTTCTGGAAGGCAAATCCTTTTATTATTTTGTTTTGTTTTGTTTTATTGAAATGGGGTCTCATTCTGTCTCCTGGGCTAGAGTACAGTGGCATCACTGTAGCTCACAGCAGCCTCAAACTCCTGGTTCAAGCAATCTTCCTGACTCAGCCTCCCAAGTAACTGGGACTACAGGTGCATGCTACCACACCTGGCTAATTTTTCTTTTCTTCCTTTTTTAGACAAAATCTTAGTTTCTTGCCCCTGGTAGAGTGCTGTGGCATCGTAGCTCACAGCAACCTCAAACTTGGGCTCAAGTATCCTTTTGCCTCAGCCTCCCAAGTACCTGGGACTGTAGGTGCCCACCACAGTGACCGACTAGTTTTTCTATTTTTAGTACAGACAGGGATCTCAATCTTGCCTAGGATGGTCTTCAACTCATGAGCTCAAGTGATTCACCAACCTTGGCCTCTTGGAGTGTTGGGATTACAGGCATGAACCACTGGGCTACACCCTAAATTCTTTTTTTTTTTTTTTTTTTTTTTTGAGACAGAGCCTCAAGCTGTCACCCTGGGCAGAGTGCCGTGGCATTACAGCTCACAGCAACCTCCAACTCCT